TTATTATAAGCAGCACTCGCACATGTGATAAGCTAAGGATGGAAAGTGTCCAACGATATTTTACCTCAAAACTACTTGGCTATGGTTGTAAGAAAGACTACATCTCACGGTGCCTGATACTAAAACTTGACCCACTTTGGACAAGGCGACTTATTATAAACCTAATATTCTTCTTTAAGGTCCTTCACAAAATATCTTTCTCAGGTAACAGGGACAAACAATTCGCACAGGAAGGTTCTTACGATCTGCGAAACCAAACTTCCACAGTGACAACTCATTCCTTTAAGTCAACACTCCGTGAAGACTTCACAGTCATGTATTCTAAAATATGGAATAGCCTGCCTATAGATATCAAAACTTGCTCTTCAGTTACAAGCTTCAAACGCTCTCTATACAGACTGTTTCACTCTACAGATTATATTAATAAACTATTTACTCCTAGAACGAATCAATCACTAATCTACTACAGCACCTAAAAGACGCACTTCAACACCCTTAGCAATCTAAAAACTATAAATAAACTAGCAGCATGGATGCATAAAGACTTAGTACGGAACATACAGGATTAGTTTACCCTTAGAAATAGGACCTATCCCTCATTGTAACCTTCAAACGCTTGCTATATAAACTGTTTTGTCCAAATGACTATCCCTACCAGAACCCATCACTTATTTCTAAAACGCACCAGTCATTAGAACAATAAAAACGCTCAGACTCATTAATACACATTATGACACTAAATAAACTCTAAGACTTCGCATAAATACGTGAAAACACAACCAAAAAGTAAAATTTTACTAATGTATAATATACAATTGACATAAACATTTATAAGTGCATAAAATATAAATGCTTTTCATGTTCACATACTTTCTCTTTCTGGTATTCTGCTGCTCCTATTCATCTTCTGGTCGAGGTCGAACAACCCTGCATCTAAACTGAAATGAGGATTAATTCCAAACTATCTATCTCATAACCACTCAAATTCCATGAACGATCCAATTCTACCATTTGAAGACGCTGGCGAACATGCTGTAAATGAGTATTCATGATCTGAAATGAAGAAGCAACTGGTTTTCAAACAGTTTTCAACATTTTTCTGAACTTACGAATACAGTCTTCCATGCAGACACAAATGGCGCAAATGGAGAATTCTGGAATCGACCTCGGCACCATTTGATGCAGTAAAACAACCCAACATGACCTTATCTAGTTTTCGTATCCACAATCAAATTTCTTTCCTGTTATAAAACTACGACAAGACTACCGAAAAAATGGAATAAATATATCACTGGTCTCAACATAATACATCAATAAACTTTAAGCCAATGGTGCTGTTCACAACAAAGTTATATAGAAAATTGACTTAAAGCTTTTTTTTTCCCAAAAATTTTTTTTAAATTTCTTTTGTTTTTGGGTTTTTTTTTAATGGAAAAAAAATTTTTTTATTTCTTTTTATGGTCCACAAAAAAAAATTTTAAAAGAAACTTTTCCCCCTGATTTTTGTTAAAAAAAAAAAAAACAAAATTAAAACCCTATAAAAAAAAAAATTTTTTTTAATTTAATAAAAAATTTACCCCTCCTTTAAAATTGTTTTTCCCCCTAAAAAAAAAGAAAAAAATATTTTTTACATTATGACACTAAATGAACTCTAGGACTTCGCATAAATACGTGAAAACACAACCAAAACGTAAATTTTTACTAATGTATAATATACAATTGACATAAACATTTATAAGTGCATAAAATATAAATGCCTTTTCATTTTCACATACTTTCTCTTTCTGTTATTCTGCTGCTCCTATTCATCTTCTGGTCGAGGTCGAAAAACCCTGCATCTAAGCTGAAATGAGGATTAATTCCAAACTATCTATCTCATAACCACTCAAATTCCATGAACGATCCAATTCTACCATTTGAAGACGCTGGCGAACATGCTGTAAATGAGTATTCATGATCTGAAATGAAGAAGCAACTGGTTTTCAAACAGTTTTCAACATTTTTCTGAACTTACGAATACAGTCTTCCATGCAGACACAAATGGCGCAAATGGAGAATTCTGGAATCGACCTCGGCACCATTTGATGCAGTAAAACAACCCAACATGACCTTATCTAGTTTTCGTATCCACGATCAAATTTCTTTCCTGTTATAAAACTACGATAAGACTGCTGAAAAAGTGGAATAAATATATCACTGATCTCAACATAATACATCAATAATCTTTAAGCCAAGGGTGCTGTTCACAACAAAGTTATACAAGAGAATTGACTTCAAGCTTTTTTTCCCAGATATCCGTATTACATTCATCTGATGTCTGGGTTTTTTTGATGCGAAGACAATATTTCTATATCTCTTTATGTGCTACACAAACAGACATTATAACAGACTGTTCCGACTGACTCTAATGTCAGAGAGAACAACCAAACTGTAAATTCATCATACATCAAATTGTGTAATTTATGTAATGACTTATCCATGCCTGTACAATTGGTATGTTCCTGCATAAACAGGAAGAAATATATATGAGAACATCGACATTAAGTTTAGTACTACCGAATTATTGTTTCTTCTCTACTAAATACTTGTGGCTTTCAGTATATATATATATATGTACAAATGGTTTGCGAAACTCCAGTAACGTATTACCTTTATCAATTTTGTTTCCATAACTTAAGAAAGGAGTTAGGAAATTTATTTGGCCACTATCTCTTTCCTTTTTCATGTGCAAGTCGAACGCTTTCAGAGCTATTTTCTTTGGTTAAACTGCCATTCTTTCAGGTCTTGCACAAACTAGGCAGGCGGAAACTGTATACTGTGATTTAAGTTGTGGCGGCGAATATTCCCCCTAAATTGCTAGGTCACAGTGCTCTTCGCTCGAAAATCCATGTTTACTTCCATTGTTTAAGTCAACTTGATAAACGGAAGGTGATTTGTCTGGCCTCCACCCAACCTGGCGCTCTATTGTGTTACGTTCGCTCGTCCGTACACGATACCTAGCTAGCCAAGCAATCATCCCCACACTAAGATTCCTTTTCCGAAATATATGTCACATTTTGGAAGACTGTATGGTGTTTTGATTTTTCTTTGGTTTGAGCAGGGCAAGTACTTTGGAGGTTGAATGGTAGAAACTTGAGTTTATATAAATAGTACCTTGTGTAAGCGTCGACATTCCTCATCTCTTGAACTGGTGGACTTCACTTCGCTCTGCTTCAGTGAGTTCGTTCCATTTTGTATTTTTTCATTTGTTATATTTGCTGTATTTTAACATAAATCAGTTTTACATTGTGTGACTAGACTCCAAAACGTATACGCAGATACATGTTTCCTGTAAGCTGAGCCCAGCTTTAGTGGACTCGGTTTAACTGATTCATGTTTACGATTGCTGACAGTTATACATGCACTGCGGATGTATCAACGTACACAGGTTGACTCCAGAAGCGAGTAGTCTCTCCAATATTATTAAGGCATTCGTTCTATAGGGAAATGACTTCTTGGATCGCTCAAGCCCTAATGAACACTTCCCCAATGCCAAGTAAGGTGAGGGTTCAGGTACACACGTGTTTTCACGAATGCGTATAGCCAATGGGAATCTGGTGACGGTTGTTTTTGTTTAAGTTGACACAACCAATACTGAATGCGCGGGTGACACTCCAAGGGGTCTCCATAGATGACTTCGCTACACTGGCTGCACTGCATAGGACAGTTAATGCATTTTCCTCCATCAGCACCGAATCTTCTAATATCGACCCAAAAGTGACAGAATTGCGTATAACTGTTTAACAAATACTATGGGCGACTAAATCCACAGTCCACCAAACCGCCATCGCGAACCACCTCGATGCAGTCGCCCACACCGCTGTTGGCATCAAGATACCCATGACCAGAAACTTATGGGTTGATGAAAATCCTGCATTTTTCCACACGGATGTGAAATCCATTAAAGACTATCCAGTCAGCACTGGTCAGTGGTAGCCGTAGTCGCGTGTTGTGTATTCGCGATGTCATTAGTAGAACTTTGTGCTTGACTTCACCTGCTATAAAAGTCAACGTCCTCCTAGCCACAGAGGAGGATTATCAGCAGGAACTTGCCTTCAGCTTACAAGCCACAGACGGAAAAACCACAGCAACCATCAGTAAGCGATATGTCTATCTAAACATAATTTTATGCAAAACTATCTAGTGGATTTTCCTTCTTGTTGGCGTTACCTAGCCCGTCATAGGCATGGATGTACTTGACCATCGAGACCCACCCGTGGATTTCTGCCGATGACGGCTGATAGGTATTACCACTTAATTCTCGGTAAAGAAAACTATCTAGTTAAGTCGAAGGTTGCCGCAGCTTAAGAAAATAACAGTCAGTCCAATCTTCCTTCTGATCAGAAACTCTTACGTAGACTGCGACAGCGTCAGTCGTCTGAAATCGACGTACACAGAAGACGGCCTTACAAGTCCCAACGGAAACTTTCCACGTGAAACCTCACTGATAGACTAATATCGTTATATGTCCTAAAAATTTAGAAAAAGCGAAAAAGCCCAGACATTTTAGGCCTTTTTTCTTATAAATTTTTGTTCTCATATAATGGTAGTCAGATTTCAATAATTTATTGTAGTTCAAAGCGACCCACTATCTTCAAATACAGCTCACTAATTATGATGCCACATTTCAAACACACCACCATAGAGTAGTAGAAATCATTAACAACACATCACATTGTCTTTGAATGTTATTAGTGACAGGCAACTTTTCTGAAGACTAGAAATGCCCACGTCAAACGGAGACACAGTAAAAGAAATATTTCAAACTCCTGAAAAATTTAACAAGACCAAACCGATTTCACGTATGAACTGCTGCCAAAGTCGGTAGAAAAATGAGTAAGCAAATCAAAAGAGGGGTCAGTGATCTACAGTAAGCTGATCAAAAAATATGATGTTGAGGACATTCAAAATCAATTTAGTTACTATGACCTTCCATTCAGTAACATTTTGTTTTAACTAATAACTCACTTGATCTCTGGTTATAACATTAACTAGCGCTGTACATGATGTGACATGGATTTTGGTAAATTTTAAATAACGATTTCTAACAACTCTTTAAAAGAAAAAGTGAATTTGTCTGTACTAAAACTCAATAAGGAATCGAGAAAGAGTGGGAACATTTACCTGCAACGCCTCACACATAGTGTTTATTCCATTTTGCAGTCTGAGCTGTTGACCAAGTGCTATGATCTTATAAATGTACTGCAATGCCCTTCTGTATTGGTAAGCGAAATTTGATCAAATAACTTAAAAATGCAAGCACTTTAAACCCAGTAATAACCATAATTTAACTTAGCAACTAAGTAGTTTTATTTTATTAGGTTTCTAGTCTTTTTTATATTTGAAGTGCTCCAATAGCCATTTGCGTATTTTATTTTTATGCTACTTTATTCAAAAAAATCTCCAAATTTAAAAATTTTGGAAGATATAAGTTTATGTCGACATCTACGTTTTCCGACTTGCCTAAAAATGAGTTCCCGTACTAATACAAATTGGAATTTGAGATTTTTGGAGAAGATTAGGGGTTCTTGGGGAGGATTTTTGCGGTTCAGTGAAAAATGTTGAAACCCTCCAAAATTTCAGCCTTATTTTAACTTCAAATTTTCTTTTTCGAATAGTTCTGCTATATCACCTTCTAGGCTACTTTGGTAATTATTGATATAAGTATAAAACTTGGGCACTGTGGTAGAGTACAACTCCATTATGGATATAATTCTAAAAAGTAATATAGGTAGGTGGAGAGAGAGATTGATCACGGAATCCTTATTTATCGAGTCTACACCCAACACATGCAACATAAATGACTCAATGCAAATACCAGAAATATGGAAGATATTATTACAGCAGGTCAAATCAGAAGAGGATAATAAATAATATTAAAATTCTATTTCAATTCAAACACATCACAACATTCCAACATAAAAAACTTATTATGACTATTAAAATACTCGTCGTGTTTCCCATCTGATTATAATTGATCAGTAACACTCGTATTATTGCCATGTGTCAAATCAGAAGAAGATAATAAATAATTTAAAATTCTATTTCAATTCAAACACATTCAAACGCAACATTCTAACAAGTAGCTTATTATGACTGTAAATTGTGACTGTAAAAATAACACTCGTCCTTTTTCCCACCTAACTGCAACTGATCAACAACACTCGTACTATTATTTCTGAATGTACATTATCTCACAATGATTTTTAATCCAATATCTAATCAATTCCACACATGTATATAAATGAAAGAACAAAGTTGTGTGAGTTACTTGATATGATTATGAGCAATAGTTTGTGCTCGAAACGTCATCAGTTAATATAACTGTACAACACTGTGTGATTTATAAAAATGAAATCTTATCCATAATGGAGCTACTTTGGTAACGAAAAAAAGTTTTTTCAGAAAACAGTATATTAGACATCAAAGGATGAACATTTCTTTTAACACTGTGTATTACGCAGTCTACTTTGGATGTCAACAAATCCACAGAATTAAAATCAGTCATAACTTTTAACCGCAACTATTCGCAACAATATATGAGATATGTTCTGACATTCGTTACTTTAATTCGCACGATGTTTATTGCCCTCTTAAATCTCCTTGGTCTTAATTAAGCAGACAGATACTTTATGGATAAGATTTCATTTTGGTAAATCACACAGTTTTGTACAGTTATATTAATCGATGACGTTTCGAGCACAAAATATTGCTCATAATCATATCAAGTTATGATTATGGAGTTATACTCTACCACAGTGCCCAAGTTTTATACTTATATCAGACAGATACTTACTGTTTCGTTAGGAAACTTGGCAAAAGGGTGATTTCACAGCAACATTTTAAAAAATTTCTGTGAAAGACAAACCGTGACTGAGTAATGCAAGTACGAACTGTGGAGGTATTTTAAGGGCAAATCCATACCAAAATTTGGTGGGGAGGGAGTTTATGGAAAATCCATTACATATCCTCCGAACCTCAGATTTATTTAAAATCCCAAAATTCCTTTATTGGAGAGTTTCGTCAGGTCATAGCTACTAACTGAGTCGTCAAAATATAAAAAATGATTAGTAATTCAAACATTCTGCGAACTATAGAATACTCATTTCAATAGAATAGGAATTATTACCCACATGTAGTGGAAGTGAAAGACTGAGCAAAGACATGTTTGTCTCCATTACAAAATATCAATTTTCTATTCCAAGTACTACTTAAACTCTTTATTCACATTATTGCGGTTATAAGGTGTGAAATAATTTTGAGGTCTGGAACATATACCTCTCTATCATTAATCACTGGAAGCCTATAACCTTTTTATCAAGCGTCATACGGCACAACTTTAATACCTACTATAATGATAGCCACTATGTTTTAGCAAAAGCGCGTTATAATTTGGAGATAATTATGGCTGAATTCGGTAACCTTCTCACACGAGTCAATTTCAGCAGTTGTTTTGCGGCTATGGACTAAAGTAGAGTCGAATGCTGCACATTATGTTTGCCGTTTGAACAAGAAGTTGAATGTCGTTCTTATGAACATAAACTTAATGGATCTAACTACCTGGTAATTTTTTATGTGAAATGATACTTCGAGGGCGTTAGAATACCTTATTACATCTTAATGATCCAATAATATTGGTAAATCCATTGAGTGCTTTAATGTTGCATGTATATATATATGCGCTCAGTGCAGCTATTACCGTTCTGAAAATAAAAATAATAATGAAAAAACTGAAGAAAACACTGCATGTTTCATCTGCTCAGAAAACCGGCTTCCGTTTTACAATTGCGACTAGAAAACAAATTTTGATTTGTCATTTTCATTTTTCTGTAATTGATTTGCAAGGATTCCATTTTTCACCTTTCCTTTGGTGGTCGATGTTCAGTTATCGCAGTCTCTCTGTTTTACATTTTACTTTTGTTTAGGATGATTTGGATTATTTGATACCAAGGGCTAACATCAATGAAGTTCAAACAGGCTTACCTCCATTTTCCATGGAGCGGCTCAAGAAAAAAATTATTAACCTACACCTACCTCAGGGAACACGTGTATTTACTGTCCAGCTGCCTGAGAGTCAGCCTAAATTTGAGTATCGGAGATCAGGGGTAGTTCTTCGACAAGCCGTTATAAAAGGGGAAGTGGAAAGTTTATTTGTTTCAGGTGTAGAACATGACAGTCCAGCAAGCAAGTATGTGACCTTTTAACGAAATCTTGCTCATACTATCCTAAATTATACGTTTTTCATATAAATAAAACATAAACATGTACGTTGTTGTAATATGTACTATCTGTAGGAACAGTCTGGGAGATTTTTGATAGGCAGCAGTCATAAACATATTGTTTAATAAAATAAAAGGAATAAAAGTAGTTGTTGTTAAATGAAAAAGGTTAAGTCCTTAGTGGTGTGCTTTTAACTCACGACTGTTAACGACGTTTATTTTAGTCCTAAGCTAAACATTACATTGTTTACGCACAATAACCTTCAGAATTAGTCTCATTGTGAAGGTTATCTAACTTTTATGTTGCAAATAGTCACGTAGCTGGGTTTAGACTTGTTAGACAAATATTTCCAGTAGATTTTTATATCAATAATTTGAAAGAATTTCACCCCACTTTCAGATATTTTAGGAAAACAAAAAATCAACTTTGGTGTGTGTAAGAGAATTATTCTGACTTCCATCGGCATTAATATACCTTTTAAAATCCTCACCAACAAACGTATAAAGTTTTACCACAAACTTAATTATAAGACAGATTTCACTTGATTCGTCTATCTAGTTGTGATGGCTTTCCAGAATGAATTTAATTCTCTTATTATTCACTCTGGATTAATATAAAATTCTATCTCATACCCATCAAAAGAGTGTAACATTTTAAATCCATTTCTCATAACAATGATTATCAGATGTCAGGTCTTTGTAAAAATGAAGGGTTTCAAGCCGACCTCCATTGCAGACCAACATCAGCAAAAGAAATATTAAAAAATCGGAAAATATCAGGAAGTGGTTTTATCAAAGAATAGTACTTGTTATTAGTTTAAGTTCATTATTTCATCATTTCCCAATCAGTGAAGCCTAAAAGTAGCAAGTAGTTAACAATCCATCGGTCTTGAAGGGTGAACCAAAAGCTTGGTGGATGAAATCAGGCGATTAAAGTGTAAGAACAGATACTTTTCACTCATGTGTAATAATCATAATTACGAACTGCTAAGGTCCAAATTAGTGATCAAATTGTAACATGCTTGTCGCTTAACTTGAAGATCGGGTGGTTTATATGTCATGAAGTCCTGGGTGATTTTCTGAAGATTTCCAAGTTAGGCTGAAGTGGTATGTTCATTTTTAGCTTTTGCAAAGCATTTTGAATAATGCTTGTTGTGAGAGTTTTATATTCTCTGAAAAACAGAGCTTGTGTTCCAAGTCGCAGATTCAAGTCAAACAGCAGGCATGAGAACGAATTATCCTGAAGTGAAACTGAAAATTATACAAAATCTTATTACTTATTCTTAGAATTCTGTACAGTACGTGATGAAATATTTCAAGTGGGTTTCAGGATATATTTCTTGCCCTGGTTGCTCAATTTATATGTATGGCCTATTTTGCTGTTGGATTATTATACTGAATTCACCCACATACACGAATAATATTACTCTTTCCTGTCTAAAGATTTCATTTGTCGTAAACTACTAAGTTTTCTTAAAGATCAACCTCACATATTGTTTTCTTTGCAAGTGGACTGTTGATGGCTATAGTATTTTACAATGAATTGCTATTTATGGTTAAACAGTAAAACTTGTAGCTCATGTTAATACTGCTCAAGATCTGGTAAATACCTTCGAGTGTGCATTTCACTGTCGTATCACTGGTTGTCTGGCACAGTTTGTTTTGATAAGACAGTAGCGCTCGCTTACAGTTAAATTTGATATGTTGACGCGTTCAGATTAATCTAGTCGAAGCTATTATTATTGTCTCTTTTAGTTCCTAAAGGAATATGGGGCTTCAGCCTCACGTCTCCATTGCATTAGGTTCCTGCCTGGCTCCACGTCTGCCCATATGCTTGCATCTCCTTTTCGCATGACCTCCTCCATGTCACTCTCGTACTGACGAAGAACTCACCGCTTCACACTCGGGTTTCACTCCAGCAATAGCCTGTCGTGTGACGTCACTCACTTGATGGTTTTATCAGACGCTGCTTGGTTTGTTCCCAGAGATCCGACCCTGTTGGTGATCTTTTCGGGACATCTGAACTTGAGTACTGGGCGAAGGTAGGTGTTGATGAAGGTCTGTCGTTTGTTTGAGGTGACCTTCATGACACTCCAAGTCTCTGTTTCATATAATAGCACTGACTTCACATTGGAGTTGAAAATCCAGATCTTATTTTTCATGCTGAGTGCTGTTGATCTCCACACAGACTAGAGAGTAATGAAAGCCTGTCTTGCTTTACCGATAACCGCTTTGATATCCTCGTCAGTTCCGCCTGTAGTTGAAACGATTCTTCCCAGGTAGGTAGTTGAAGGAGGTTGCTTCTTTCAGACTCCTCCCATTTATTCTGATTGTTGCCTGTTGTTGTTGCTGCTGCTGTTGGTCAGGAATCTACATCACCTCTGTTTTATCTATGTTCACCTGAAGTCCTATCTTCTCTGGATGCTTCTTCTGCCAACTTCTGGCTTTTCATTTGCACATCTTCCAGTTTGTGAAAAATCAGACAAATATCATCGGCGAAGTTCAGATCCTCCAAGTTTTCTCTGTGGGTCCATTTTGTGCCTGTCTCCTCGTTTCCCGTCACTGTCTGTCACATTACCCAGTCTACTAGAATCAGGAAAATCATTAGAGATAGTAGGCAGCCAGCCTTGTCTTACTCCCTTCTTCACTCCGTGAGTTTCCCGTAGTGGATTACTTGGCATGCAGCATTATCGTACAACTGTTGGATGAGGTGTATAATTGTTGGCTAGGGGAAACTAATGAAATGAAATCATCTTCGCTAATCATCTGATGGTTATGTATGATGTTTTCTGAGATTTATACAGCAGAGTGAAGGTGGAGTTAGAATTTAAGGGAATGAATAAAATGTTCTTAAGTTTATTTAACTGTTCATTTAAGAGTTTCTCTACGGTTATTTGTGTAGGTCAGTTGAGAGATTATTTATGGTTTAAATGTTTGCACTCACTAAAACCCGACGGCACACGATTAATTCTCTGGTAGCATGAAATTATTGTCATATGTTGTATCTGTGTTCACCTCGAGGAAACTTTCCCTTTATAATCCAAACGCCTCATTGTATTCGAACAGCGATTTCTCAAGACAAATTTCTCACAATATATTTTAACTGTCTTGATGATGATCTGGGTTCCAGCAGTATCTCTTCAAATCTTCACCAAAGGCTAGGTCTGAACTCTGCAACTGCACCAGTTCAGTGATTCCCATGCAGACGTATTAGTCGTTTGATTTTTTGACTGACACTAAGACTTTAAAGTGTAAGATAGAATGCACCCCTCCAGAGTCCACTTCCTTCAGACTTTTTTCTGACACTTTTATAGGAATTTCAAGATATATCCTGCTCCTCGACGACTTGATATGAGACGGTTTTGGTCTTACTTTACTTTACTTTACTTCGGCTATCTCCTACGGGAGGATGAGCCGGCTTCATGAACGTCTCGAATCATCGCTGCCCAGGCGCGGCAATTTGTAAGAGAGTTCATGAAGTTTCATGGGAATTTGGTACGAGTGATGTCCCCAGAATCGCTCGGCCTTTTGTTTGAGAGTGCAGCTCTAGCCTTTACACAACCAAGTGTGACCTACAAGGCAGTAGGAGTGGAGTAAGGAGTCCACTATCCATTGGCAGCCGATGACCGGAGTTCGGTTCATACGCCTTTTTGAATGGGGCCAGACATCCAGGACATCCAACAAGCCCTTTGTCCATACGTCTGCCAGTGAGCTCCAGTGAGCTTCATACGCCAGTCGTTGGAGGTTTGGAATCAGGGTTTAGCCATCTCCCCTAGACTGTCATCCAATGGACAGTCAACCCGGTGGAGAGCGCCAGGCATCCGCTTTTGCCCTCTCACTTTGGTGAGAAACACCTCCGCCACGTGAAGGCAGTGAGTAGGACTTCCTCAGGAGAGGCTATGTAAGACGCCCGGTCACATGGGAACATTTTGGTCTTAGTGTGGTACAACTCCTTTTTGTTTCTGTACAACCTCAAGAAATAAGCCTATCACCCACTTCGGATCGAATGTTCTATCACGACAAGAAAGTCCAAAAGTAGCTAAAGGATAAATTAAAAAAAACATTAAAATTTAGTGTGAGCACAAGAAAATCTTAAAGTTATAGGTTTGACTACTGTAGGTACAATATGACATCTCTTAGAATGTCAGTATATCACTCAATTCAAATAAAGTAATAACTGAAGGATAACTGCAGATCAATACATTTTTAACCCACTAATTTTTTGTATTCCCTACTGTATAGTGATCTGAACTTTGTTCTATTTTAAATTCTTGTTAACTTAACATTTATAACTTCTCTCTCTCTCTCTAACAATTCAAAGTTTAAGTACTATATGAAATCAATTGTTCTACTTAGTCAAGGTGTTTGCTATCAATCATCATAGCTCTTTAAAGAATTCTAATTAGTATTCAGAATTGTAGATGCATTTTTAACATTTCTGATTTCACCAGAATTATGGTATTATGTTAAAGTCAAATGCCTAATATTGTTTAATGCAAGTATATGCACCAAAAAGGATTGTATGCAAGAGGCTGTATTACTAGTGCCAAATATTAAAGAAAAATAAAGAGACAGACAGTTATAGAATGGCGGAAATAGAAGAAAAAGTCGTGGAAAAATTCTCTAGTGGAGCTTTCTGAATACTATATGGGTGTATTAAAGGTTTAAAGTTACTGTTGTACACTACTAGTTTAGCGACTTTCAAATACTTTTGGCACACCAATATTGAACACTTGTCAGTTTTTTGGCTCTGCATCATGAATCGGTTATTTTAACACTCCTTTCAGTAACTCTTAATGTAGGTTAACAACGCATGTTTCATCGATTACAGTCAGTATTGTGAAACTACTTACAAAATAAAATGTATCAAATTTGAGTGCTTTGTAAGCTGATTTACAGAAAGCAGAATACGGACAGATAGTAACCGATCTAACTTATTTTGTTGGTAATATAAGGATAAAACTTGGGC